CTCCTTACCGTTATAATAATAAACTTCATAATAAATCCCCTCTATTAACTATAACTAGTCGAAAAATTATTAAATCAATATAAGGGCACCTACTTACTTTATTCTATTAACTACTAATATATTAAATATATTATATTATATAATAGTAATACTAAAGAACTCATTACGAATAATAAACGTAATATCTAACAAGGAAGTCTTTAATTACTTAACCAACCGAAGGATACTAGCAATTACTTCCTCTATATAATATTAATAATAATTAATAGTAAGATAATTAGCGCTATTAGGGTCGAAGGGATAGTTATAATTTTTCCTTATAAAGGTAAATTACTATACCCTAGTTTTAGTACTAAATACTAGCTTTGCTTACTATTTATAATTTTTTTTTATATTCGCTACTAACGGTCTTTGGAATAGGGCGTTATTATTATATTTCTTACCCCCGTACTTCTTCGCTATAATATACTCGATATTGTACTAATAAGGGAACCGAATTACTCCCTCTATCCAGTAATTACTAGTACGGTTCTTAGAAATACTAAATCTAAATTGTCTAGTAATATTATTATATATATATTAGTCTTATACACGCTAACTAGCTATACTAGTCTACCCAGGGGGGTATGCGGTGCTGCTTCGTTCGTAGTCTAAGGGAAAAACCGTATTGTTGAAATCCGGATGAAAACCCTCAGCTTCTCTATATCCAACCCTAACCCTAACCCGAACCCTTCGTCCCACCTCACCGTAGGGGGCCCGGGGAGCCTTGGTTGCTTCTTTCGTCTCTTCTCTCAGTACGTTATCTCTTTAGTCCCGGTGGACTTCGCGGCTTCTAATTGGTCGGTCCCTTAAAGCCCCACTTCCCTACCCAACGCTTCGGTAGCGTTTTTTCTTCATTCCGGAAGCGGGTATTCTTCTTTCATCCTATCTTCAGGGTAGGGGTAGGGAAGTGGGGTCTTTACTTTTTTTTTTAGTCGAAATCTTCGTCTTATTTTTTTTTTAGCCGGGATTTTTGGTGAGATGACGTTGATTGGTCCAATGTCGTAGGACCAGACGGGTTCCATCCGAGCGGAACCGTGGCTCTGGAATGGATTTCGGAGGTAGGGTTCCAATTCCTAAACCCTATTGGCGGAACGGGGAGGCCGGCGCGTCTTCGATTGGAATAAGATTTTTAACACGTGCCCAGTCACGTGCACCCAGGGTTTTGGACCAGGGTGGGCCCCCACATTTGATTTCGCTGTAAATACTCTTCTTCTTCTAAGAGCGCTTAGTGGAGCGACAGCGGGGAAGATCTTTCATCCGATCCGGCGGCGAAAAACCGGATGAAAAGGGGGGGGGAGCGGGATTCGAACCCACGACCTTTCGGATGAAACCGAAAGGGGGCCAAGCTCAGATCTTCCCAACTGAGCTATCCCCCCTAGTAATATTATTAATTTCTCTAATAATAATATCGATATCAATCCATTAGTAAAAAAAAAGTTCAGCGAAGGCGGGCTCCTTCTTACTAACCTCCTCCTTATTCTCTATTTCTTTATTTTAATCCGAAGAAGAATTTAATAACGATAATAAATTTAAGGAGTTTAAGGGGGAACAACGGCGGCAGTAGAATATAGGGATTACTAGAACTAGGGCTAAAATTAGAAATAGAAATAACTTTTCGTTTTTAATAAAATCGTTAATATTAAAAAACTCATAGTTATTATTATACAATTTAATCTTAATCTATTTAATTAAGGGGGTCGGACTAAGCGCATACGTAAATATAGGGGAGCCCGCTAAGGAGGAGGTAGTTAGATCGATAATTTTAGGTATTTCTATAGCGTACGGTTAGTAATTTCGATAAGTATAACCCCCTTAATACTACACTCACTAGCTCAATAGTAAATAATAACAGCGACGGCGATATGCTCAATTACTTCAATCGTTACTATTAAGGTACAGAGATGTCATACGATGTTGCTCGCTAGCAAATTTGGCGGGCGCTAACATAGTTTGCCATTGGTCGGGCGGCCCCCACACAGGGGATCTATCTGGGCACATAGTCGATTTATCCGGCTCGTTTTCAACACTGGACTTATCACTCACCGCCCGACGATCCCCAGAATTGCCAAGCAGGGGGGGCTTGGGCTTACTTGGATGCCATCGCAACAGCGGAATGCGGCTTAGACGTAGTGTATTTTAGGTGAGGATGAGTGAGAAGTCCGATGACCAGCTTCTACGAAGTGATTGACGTGAGTTTGACTTGGTAAGGCTGAGTTCGCCTGTCGATATTTTTGGTATCTTGGTGATAAGTCGGTGCAACTGTTGATGGCGATGGTGCCCGTAGCTTTCGTGGTTACCTATTTACGTTGTGGTGGTCAGGTCTAGCAAGAAGTAAATCCAACTTTTTTGCTTTTCGGTCTGAGGTCTCTCAATGCTACATGAAAAAAAAAAAGCAGTATCAACCTCCGGATGCTCATACAGTCTACCAGAATGTCCGTAACCTATGTGACCGAATCCCGTAGGTCGAAAATTGATACATGTAGAAACTGCGGGGGGCATTGCGTCCAGTTGACACAATTTCGTTGCCCATGGGGAAAGTACGACTTTTCCAATTGAAATCCTGGGGAAACCGAGCAGATACCATGCAATCAATGTATGTGCTTCATGGGTATGTTCCACGGCATTGAAGATAAGAGCAAAAGATTGGTTCGGAGAGTGGCTTGCCAATTCATTAATTCCATTGATTGATGTGTTGTTCTTGCCTTCCAATGCGTCTTCAAATGCACAGGGGCGCAGGCAGGCAGGCAGGCAGGCAGGCAGGCAGGGAGGCAGGGCTGATGATGGTTTCCGATAACAAGAGGGCCTTCTTCCGACAGGGACGGACGACGACGGACGTTTGCGCGCACCCGCAATGACGGGACTTATGGGAAATTCTGGGCTAGGCCTTTTGAGTTTTGACTTTCATCCCTACTGTTCAACCCCCCCAACAACCAGTTCCCCGGGTCCCATGGGAGGTCGTCACGTTGTCTCACTTGGAAGACTCCAACAGTTCGTCTGATATCGATCGTATATTCCGACGGGTTCCGGTTCCGCCGGTTCCGGGACCGGTCCCGGCTCAGAAGTTGTAATCCCGTGATTACGTGGACTGAGCGTTCATCAAGTAACGGATGTCACAGTTGGTGACAGTCATGCTGCACGAACTTCTCTTCAAAGCCATGTTCCTGTTTGCGAACTTGTTCACTCCCTCGTATGATATCGGTCAATCAGTCATTGGAGTTCCCCTAACACTCAGCGTGCGTCGATGGCCCATTGATGGCTTATGTACACTCCTCCGAGAACGCCGCCTATGTCATGGATGTGCAATCAGCTTTGAGGAGCTATGTCAATCGTCGATTACCAAGTTCCCCGTTCAAGACAAATTGCTGTCAATCAGGCATGCCTTTCAGGTTTGTCTAATACCTACCTTTCTTCTCTAGCTAGTGTTCCCCATACAGAATAAGGTATGCTACATGCGTTCATTGCTGCTGCTGCCGTTGCAGTACCCTGCAGTTGGTTATTCGTTCATTTCTTCTACCCAACATACAGCATAATTCTTCTAGTTTTTTGTATACAAATGTCCCGTTTCCATAGCCGTGCTCTGTACACATCGGGACTGTTGTACCCTTCATTCACCCCAGCTTTAGTGTCGCGTGATGACATTAATCGTACATATCGTGAGGCACATATTGCATTATATGATGCATAAACCATGAGAGACGCTGTGTAATGCCTTCCAGTCTTCAGCCTGGAAATCCTTTGTTGCTTTTTTCGGAAAAGACATGCTTAAAATCTGCCACATGGCATCCCGAGACCTCGCATGTCTTTCTAGACGCCTATTTACCCGCAGGAGCATGAAAACCCTTTAATGTTTACAGGGAAAATGAGACATTCTCAGACAGGTATGTATGGCTAAACTGAAGTGTCTGTGCTTCCTTGGCTTTTTCTTTTCTCCCTCCCTCAGCTCAGCTATCCCAGCTTATGTACCCAGACACAAACAAGAGAGCGCAAGCTCCGGTCTCCAGCCTCTAAGGGACAGTCAATGACGCTGATTCGTGCCACGGAAGTAGATAAAAAAGCATGTGGGCCAGTAAGGCATAATGACAAGCCGTCTCTGGCCAGGCTGACCTGTGCTTTCTGGTAGCATTATTGTTGTTCTGTTTCTCGTTTCATTCCTTTTCCCATCTCTCTTCGGTTTCCCTCGGTGCTATCCTCAATATTGCATACATTTGAAATACTAAATCGACTCCATCGGGGTTCTCAAACGGCGATGCTCCGATTTACGGCGTGGCTTGCAGAACCTGGAACTGGGCAGACAAATAACGGTTTTAGCTATACAGCGACGTATTTAATGGTGCTCCGAGGTTCCGACTTCCGATCGTGTTCCACAAAGGCACTCGAAGCCCCTCAGGAGTTTAGAGATGATCTCCTGTTGGGTGTCCGGAATTATTGAATATGGTGAGAGCTTCAGCATGACGAATGTATAGTCATATATGTAGTTGGAGGGCTGGAGAGCGGACCGACTGTATAAAGCCCAGATGACGGCGTTACATGAAAGTAAAAATATCAAAACATGCAGTGTTGTGTCTTCCATGCGTTGTTTGGTCTTGGAATGTCTTCGTTCAAGCATTGAGAAGACCGACGGTTCGAAGAACGCTGCCGTCTAAAAGTACGGGTGCACAAGATTGGAATGAGATGATGCAACAGTGGATCTGGTAATCCAGTTGTAAATACATCGCCGTACCCATAGATTCAATTGTCGAGCTAGGTGACCGTGAACTTATCAAGAATTTACGTGATAGTTTCATGAGCATATTGAAGAGTAAACAGCGGATGCGAACCCGCGAAATGGTCAACGGGGCAAAAAGCAGTGTCATCACCAGAACCGCGTTATCAAACCGGTCTTTAGCGCTGGAATATTGTATTCAAAAGCAAGCCACCGCTGGTGCTACGGTATACATATTCGGTACTCTTTCCCTTCTCTATACTTTCCCATATCCTTCTGCTATCTCGTCTCCTTCGCCATCGGTTTCAGGCCCAGGGGCTCGGTCATCTCCCTTTATCGCTTCCACCATCTCCTGGCGCTGCTTCAGCCGAGCAAGCCGGTAGTCCAAGTATTGCGCGCAATGAACCATCATCTGTTTGACCCACTCTTCCCAGGCTTCAAGATAACAGAGTAATGCCTCCTCAAAGACACTCGGCAATTGCTCCCTCACAGACCGCAGAAGCTCATCATTGAACCGGTCCACGGGAAACAGGCATCCCTACGCCATCGACCACTTGTGAGCCTCTACAGGGTCTGGCGAGTTCCAGAAGTTGCGTGTCATGGTCTTTATAAAACTAACCACCTTTGCGTACCCAGGCTCCTTGTTGAGCGCGTAGCCTGGCGAAGGGTTATGTTGATTTTCGACAAGTGCTTGTTTGAATGCATGTATTTTGCCGAGAGCCCATCTGCGCCGCTGAAGTTCGTCGTTTTTCCTGGTTGCCTCTTGGTTCATGGCCGGAAAGTAAGTCTGGTGTGACTCAGCGTTAGCGCTGCGTAGCATGATTCCCAGTCAAGATCATCGGGTACTTACGGGGATAGAAAAGGTCCAGTGTTCTCTCCAAGGAAAGGGGTTCGTCACAAACAATGGTCGAGACCGCGCGCAATGATAATGCTCGATTGTTGATCTAATTTTCCGTAATGTTTCGCGAATGCGCACTCGTGATGACCGGAGTTGGTTCGTTGACGAGATATTATTCCAAGCTGAAGGTTGTTATGGCGGGAGAGCGATAACTGATCCTCTTTTGCTGCTTGACAATCTGTCGATATGGTGTAGTTAATATTGTGTTGATGTTTTCTACAAGATGCAAATCATGGGTAATTACTTGCTCTAGACAGCGTAGAAATTGCTCTTGACGAGCTTCCTTTTCTCCTCCTCCTTCTCATTTCGATGCTCGGGCCCGCCATAGCTTCACCGTTCCTTCTCGCAGTCAACTCTTTTCTCCTTCTGGCATCTTTCTTTCTTATATCTTCCTTCTCATTCTCACGGTACACTTGCAGAGTCGTACCTGCACAGCATTCTCCATTCCGCTCCTCATCTCTTCAACGGGCCTTGACCTTGATCTCTGTGCTCATCACTCTTGATGTTTTGTCATGGCTGCAGCAGGAGCCAGACTTTACGGGCCCGGAAGACAAGTTGGGAACAACAATGAACGCAGGGTCATACAGATGAGTATAGTGTGCGAGGTGATCCACAGCGCTCAGGTGGGGGCACCGTCGTTCAGCGAACACTATTGATTTGCCTTCTATGCTTGACATATTTTCCGTGCCGAAAGTACATCGTCTAAAACGCCTAAAACCATGATGAAGAAATGATTATAACACATGGAAAAAAAAAACCACGGCGAACAAGATAATCTATGAAGACATTCCCACCGCCTCAATACCAGTAATTTCCCTTTCTCGAACGCCGCCATGCTGTCCTTGTTCCCCTCAACACACAAACCGGTTATTCCGCATCAGGAATTCCACTGACACCCTCCTCCTGGTACTTATCCCAGTTTGCCAAGATCTGTTGGATCTTAGGGGAGTTCGTCAACCGGTAGACATCCTCGAAATACTCCTTGGTGATTGCGAATGGCTTAGCAGTCACGTTGGGAATGTACTTGCCAATAAGCTTCGATGGGTCGATGGTAGTCTTGTTGATCTTCTTAAGCAAGAAGCTTCTGAAAGGCTTGACACCAGAGCGCAGGAAGGTCGAGTGGAAGGGCACATCGATACCGGGGAGCGGGATGGTTGCAAAGCCACGCTGGAGAACGAGGGGAGTGGGTTTAGCCTGAGTGTCGTTGGCGCACGACTTGATGATCTCGACCAGCTGCTCCTTGACAGTCTCGGCAGAGTATTCCTTGCGCATTTTCTCAATGTCGATCTTCATCATCTTGATAGCGTTGCACACACCGCCAAGGGTGTCGAGCGCGCGCAAGTCGCCAGCACAGACGTACTGCATGTTCTCGACGTTGAAGTTGACGATTTCAAGAAGCCATCCGGTGGTCTCTGCGATGCTACCGACCACGAACCGCAAGGCCTCTTCGGTGAAAGTCTTGTTGATACGGCTGGGGTTGACAGCGCACATGCCATAGTTGGAGCGGCCTGTCTCATCGCGCTCGACAGCGACTTGCATGGTGAGACCACGGTAGAAGACGACGGACACGAGGGACTCGATGGGCATGACATCGGCAAGGGCAGCCAGCGCAGAGTATTCGCCAAGAGAGTGACCAGCGAAGGTGCTATCACGGGGCACAAGTCCCTTGGCCTTCATGTCCTCGAAGCTGGCCTTTTCCATTAGGGTAAGAGCGGGCTGCGTGAACTGGGTAGCCGAGAGAAGACCGTTGGGTGAGCGGTAAGTGTAAGAGGTAGTCTTCTCGTCGATCTCCTTGAACATGCGCTCCGACTTGATCGAGCCATCGGCAGCCACAGTCTCGAAAGTCATGGACATGTAGTTCTGGCGAATGGCCTTGCCACGAGGGCCACCAAAGTGAATAGTGAGCTCCTTGGGGTTGTTCCGGACAATGTTGGTGATGGCAAAGCCTATAGACTTGTTAGTATTGGAATCAACAAAAAGACAATAGTAAGGGACATACCATAAGTGTCCATGAGATACTTGTCGGCCCGATCCCAGACAGCCTTGGCCACAGGGCTGCTGTTATAAAGATCCATACCCATGCCCTGTTCCTGCGAGCCCTGGCCGGTGAAGATGTAAGCGGTGATAGGCTGCTCGATTTCGGCCTCGCCCAGGAGCACCTTTTCCTCGGTCTCCTTGTTGCTAGCCTCAACCTTGATAATCTTCCGGCCAGCAACCATGCCGACGTGCTGCAACTTCACGTTGATATCATCATTGGGCAGAACCATGCCGGTAAGAGAGGCGTGGAAGCTGCGAACGCGGCCAACCTTGTTCTCGGCAGCCCAGGTCTCAACCAAGCTGCGCACCGCGGCACTCGAGTACATGCCGTGAGTGATGGTGCCAGGAAGGTTGGCATAGCTGGAAAAGACACGGGAGACGTGAATGGGGTTATAATCACCGGAGACGCGGGCATAAGTCTCGTTGGACGAGGGCGCCTTGAGTTGGAGGGGGGTCTTTCCGCTCAGAGGGATAGGGTTCTCAAAGTTGATCGGCTGTTCAATGGAGGAACCATGACGCTGGAGGTAGTCGATGACAGGATTTCCGTGAGATTCTCCAGCGTAGTAGTTGACAGTGGCGACCTGGATAATCTCCTTGGTCGGGAGCTCAAGAAGAACCTGGCCCTGAGTCTCCACGTGGCTGAAGACAGTCTTGTTCTTGAAGCGAACCAAGGTCTGGAGACGGAAGGTGAGGGTCTGGCCGAGAAGCTCAATGTCAGGGTTCTCAACATCATCCATCATGAACCAATCCTTGGAGCGAAGGACGGCCACGTCCTTGGAGGTGGCAAGATGAAGCTGCATAGGGGTCTCCACCTTGCGCTGGAATGTGTTCTCGAAGTCGGTGTAGGTACCACGATACAAGAACTGCGAAGTAACCTCCATGACCTTCTCACCGTCACGAGTGATGGTACCACAGACCTCGACCATTTTTCCAGACTCCTGGTTGATGACAGCGTTGATCTGAGCAGTAGTCGAAACCACATCGCCCTTCTTGAGGGGCTCAGCACCAGGCATCATGCGGAACTGGTTGGACAAATGGACGAGCTTGAGCAGGTCACCGTCAATGGTGCGAGGGAAAATAGGCTTGGTGATAGCCTTCCAGCCAACAACAATAGCAAAGTCCATGGGAGCATACATGACCTTGTCGGGTCTGTCAACGAAGGCCTCTCCGGTGTTGCCAACGGCGTGAACAAATTCATTGATGGCCTCGCTGGTGATGGTGGTCTTGCCGCCGTCGAAGACTTCATGAACGGAGGAATCGAGGTCGAGCTTCTCATCGCCGAACCACGCGCGCCAGTAGAACTCCTTGATGCGATCATTGCGACCATCCATAACCTCATGAATAGGAGCATAGCCAGCCTCGGGGTTGTAGATAAACTTGAGAGTGAGGGGCACTGGCTTTCCGAGGGCCGTGGTATCCTTGATCATGTTGACGACAATCTCGTTCTTGCCGTCCAGCTTGACCTCAATGACCTCAGCGTAGCGGTTGGGGCGTGGCTGCTCCTTGACGAGAATGACCGTCTTCTCGGGGTTGTTCGGGTGTAGAATCTCGACAAACAGACCACGAGCTGGCGCAAAGATGCGGCGCATGGGGTTGGTCTGGTACTTTTGTCCTTGGACGAGGACGTCGGACTGGAGAAGGGCGAAACGCCAGTTTCTTTGGTGTCCGGCGAGAAGCGAAAGCCAGGCGTCCAGCGAAGGAAGTTGAACGGAAGGCGATGAGGACAGACGATAGGTGTTCTTGTGCTCATCATAGGAGACAGTAAGACCCTCGATATCGAGAGGAATTTCTGACTCGATCAGCTTACCACCAAAGTACTCAATGGTAGGGATCTTGCTCTCATCGCCACCATACATATCACGGGTGAGCAAGGCGATGTGACCGTTGTGAATTCCGTCGAGGATATCCTTGATGGGCTCGTCCACCTTGGTAGCGTGCTTGGCAGCCATGGGACCCTGAAGAATACAGGTACGGCCGACATCCTTGCCAACAACGGCCGCAAGATCCTCCGACTGCCAGAGCGAATCCTTCTTGAAGAAAAACTCGAAGTTCTCATCGAGAACAGGCACAAAGGTGACGGGCTTCTGTCCACGACGTTGGCAGAGCAGGAGGAAATGTTGGACATCCTGAGCGTTGATGAGTTGCTTCTCGGCCTCGGGATAGTGCGAGAGAATCTGCTCAACAGCAGAGTAGGGCTCCTTGAGGTCAGCATAACTCTGGAGTCTGGAAGGCTGGCCAGGCGTGGTAGTAAATCGCTCCTCAATACGGTGGATAAAGTCACCAGTAAGCTTGGTGTACGACTGATCAATCCACCTAGCCTCATCTTTGACGTAGAGAAGCTCGACCAGGCGGCGAACAATCTCAGCATATGTCATGTCCTCAAGATCAACGGCCTTACCCTCCTTGTTCTGACCAAACCAGACCTTTTGGAAGTCCTTGTTGAGCTTCTCGATGATGTAATCACGGCTAGCCTTAAGAGCAGCGACCCTCTTCTCCTTGGGAAGGCTGAAGATCTTCTGGTCCATCTCAGCCCAAAAGCGGACACCACGAGTGGCGAGCTTGTGAATGGGCTCACCCATCTCAGAGCGGACAGTGATGACACCGCCAGCGGGGCCCTTGTAGGTCTTCTCCCAGTCACTGTCGTCAAGACCAGGAGCGTCAACGATAGCCTGCTTGGCAGCCAGGCTGGTGTGGGCTTCCTTGGCGACCATCATACGACTACCGAACATGCAGCCGTCGAAGGGCATGGGGGGATAGCCATACTTGATGGACCAGTCACCAGTGAGGTAGGGGTAAGTGTCATCAGCACCTCCGAAACCGCTACCGGCAACGAGAATGATGTTTTCTTGGCGGCGGATGCGACCATAGAGGTTAAGGATGGGGTGATGGAAATCCTCAAACGAGTGATGACCACCACCTCTGCCACCGGTCCATTGGAGAATCACGGGGAAGGTAGGGTTGGCCTTGGCGATGTTGATGACGGCCTGGATAGCCTCACCCGAACCAGGCTTGAAAGAAATGTGCTTGAGTCCCAGAGTCTCGATATACTCCTGCGCGACCTCGATGGAAGGAACGCCAGCACCGATGGTGAGACCTTCGATGGGATAGCCCTCAGCTCTGAGCCTGCCAAGCAGGGGAATCTGCCAGCCCATGGCGCGAGGGTTGACATAGATCAAGTTGACGCAGATACCGCGACCAGCAGGAACAGCCTTCTCAATCTTAGAGATGGCCTCGGTCATGGTCTTGGCATTGTAGTAGCCACCGCCAGCAAGCTCGATCTGGTAGCCAGCATTCATGGTGGCAGCAATGAAGTCCCAAGGCACAGTGGTAGGAGTCATACCAGCGACCAACAAGGGCGGGAGGCCAAGAAGTCTGCTCATCTTGGTATCAACGTATGTACGACCAACAGAGTTCTTGACCAGTCTAGGACCGTATTCCTTGACCCAGTTCACAGCAAACTTGACTGCCTGCTCCTCGTCACGGTCGAACAACTCGGGCTTGTAGCCAACATCAGTGACAGTTCCGTTCACCGTGCCAGCAAGGATGACGCGAACGCCGGTACCCTCCTTGTTACGGCTAGTCAAAATGCCGAGACCCGAGATACCGCCAGGGCCAAAATCGAGGATATGGGTGGCATCCTGGAAAACGGTGGCCTTCTCCCAGTGGACGGTCTCGCCCGTAATCATGCGGAT